AAGAACTGGCTAGTGAAGCAATGCTGGAGAGTCTGAGCCTGTCTTGAATCTTGTAATATAAATCCTGAGAAAATGTATGATTTCCTGGGGACAATAAACCCGTGATATATAAATTTACCAAGACCAATATCAAGGAATTCCTTGTGTAAATAATTGAAACAGTTATTCAGTTTTTTTATATTTTTCACCAGCAGAACTAAAGCAGCAAAAGGCAAGGAAACCGTATCATTAAGATAATTTAATTCTAAGAAGTTGAATTTTTAAATCACAATGACACCTCGCAAAGGATATCGGAAATTTTTGTTTTGCCCTAAAGTTATCCAAAAAACAAGATGTTTTAAAACATCTATTAATTTTTTAACATGCGTGCAGTGCGAATAATTTATATATTTAAAAAAATAATATTGAAATAGCTTTTGAATAATTATTGAAAATTTTGATGTGTAAAATTTCTTTAAACTTTAAAAGTTTATCGATGCTTTTTATTTAAAAATAAATTCAATTTCAAACGTCTAGAAGTTCCTCTATATTTATAAAGGCTGAAAAATATAAAAAGCTTTCAAATTATAATTAAAAAAAAATCATTCAAAAAATTTTTTTTATTGCAATCAATTAACTCATCCGATATTTATTTGCACTAATAAACTCTTATTTGGATGAAAAAATTAATACCATTAATATTTTTTTTACTAAGATAAAATTTCATGTGTATCAATAAAATTGATATATGTTTGATATGTGGCGCAATTAATATATATATATAAATAAAATAAAATAAAATATTATTTTTTCTCTATTTTCTCTGTTCTTCTTTCTCCCTCATATTCTTTAAAGGTAACTATTTGTGTAGAGTTGTCTGAGAAAAGAAAAACCCTAAAAATACAAAAAAGAGAAAAAAAGTTATTAATAACAAAAGCTAAGAGTAGTCTCGGCATTTATGTTTCAACACTCAAGTTAGAAATCGATCTAAGAGATGAAGAAAAACGGGATGAAATAAATGCTTAAAAGGTTTAACGATTCCAAATTAGATAAGAAATACTTAGATAAGGCTATTTATACCTATGTAATGAAAAATCTTGGGCCTAGATAGCCCAAGGTCGACATAGTGAGACTAGGACTTACCTTGTAGGCCCAAGCTAAGTTGTCAATTATCCGTCCATTCAGGACACGACAAGTTAGCATGCCAAGACACTAGCTAATAGGTTGTTGAAGTGGATGTGCTGGTGTGAATCTTAGGATTTTAGGTTGGCTTAACACATCAGCTTGGCCAAAATGATCAAAATATCCTTGCTTGTTAGTTAACTTATACTAAGGAGAGAAAAGTCCATTTTGTCCTTTAGATACTAAAATGCCTAAAACAGTAGCGTTTCGGACCACTTTTAGAATTACCATGATGATGTAATCATCGAGTTGATTTTATTGCTCATGATTTGAAATTATTTTATTTGGTTAATAATCATTAATTCATACAAAACATAGTAATATTTATAAATTCATTAATTACTATGTTTAAAGATAATCATTTATAAAACATAGTAATATTTTATTTATTTTACAATCAATATTATTAAATTATTAAATATATTTATTTATTAAGTAAACTAATTTTTATAATATAAATTATGTAAAAAATTGAATTAGAAAATAAAACTAATCTATTAAAACCATAATAAAAAAACAAGGATATTTTATTATATATAAAATATTAGAAAAAATAAAAAATATATATACAAATTATTTTTGAACTTATTATATTGAATATTAGTCTAAAAATATAAAAATTTATAATATAAAATAATTATAATTTTAAGAGGAATCAAATTTTTAATTCATATATTAAATAGTTAATATTAACTATTATTAATTTTATATATTATTTCACTTGATAATAAAAGTTTTTCACCATTTTGGATGGGAATTATATTTCTTTTCAAGATAGTGCTTTAATCACTCTTAATGATCCAAAATCATTATCATATAGAATCACCAAGTGTTTACCTAATACGGTGATCTAATCATCACATGTAGATCACATGAATTTTAGAATGATCACTCTATACCAAACACTACTTAAGAATTCAATTGATTGTAATTTGGGGAGTTATAGATTAAATTTTGTCATGTGACTTAATTTCATTCATTTAAGAGTCTAATTAAGTCAAAATAAAAGATCAAGAGTTTGATTGATTATAATAAAATATTAAGAACTTAAATGATTATTAAGTTATAATTCAAGGACATTTTGACCTTTCAACCATTTATAAATCTATATATATACTCTAATCATTTACTTAAAAGTTAAAACAAATTATTCTTTTCTTTTTAAGAGTATTTTTGACAAGTGCAATGCATTGTTAGGAGTGAACAAAAATTGGCTCAAACTGATTTAGTTGACCGAAACCAATGAAAATTAATCAATTTAGTTTGGCCAATTTGGTTTCGGTTATAATTGAATTTTTGGATCAATTAAATTTATTAAATTGATTGGTTTTTGGTTCTTAAAACTGATTGTTGAACCAATTGAATTAACTAACTTTCTAATAAGTAAAAGTAAAAAAATTAAGATGAGTATTTTTATTTATCTTTTTCCTATAAAATATTGTTGAAATTATTTTAGTAATTTAGTTTGAATGATACTTGAGTTTGTTTTTTATTCAATTGAATTTGTGGCTAAATAACTATTTATAATAGAAAGAAAAATGATAAAAAGTTTGGTTATTTAACCGAACTAAACCAATTTTGGTTAGTTCAATTATGGTTGACTGTTTAAAAATTTTCGATTAGTTCAACTATTTGTTGAATGAAAGTCGATTAATTTAGTTATTGATTTTTCAAACCGAATCGACTGAACTAACCAATTACTTACCCCTATGCATCGTGAATGATTTAACACATAAAATAATATAAATTTTTACATTAAAATTTATTTTAATATTCAATATAATATTTCAATAAATGAGAAATAATATATAAATAATTTTTAATAAAGTTATTAAATTTTAAGTTATGTTCTACCTTTATAAAAAATTATTAAGATCATCAAAACAATTAAATGGTTAGAGTTTAAATCTTCCAATTTAATTATAAGTATTAAGTTTAAACTTTAAAATTAAAAGAGTGATTTTCAAGAAGGGATGTTGTCAAATTGATCCCTAACTATAGTAAAATATCCAATATGATTTTTAAAATTTAAAAATCTCTAATATAATACGCGATGGTGAAGTAAATTTTCATAATTATCTAATTTTTTAAGATTTTGGTGACCTGTTATTTAATTAAACAAATTTGTTGAACAAAATTTTGGAGGGTTCTTTTTTTTTTTTTTTTGAGATCTTGAAATTTTGTCCCAAAATTTAATAAATTTTAAAAATCTTAGAATTTGGTCCCAAATTTAATGATTCTTAGAATTTAATCTCAAATTTAAAAATTCTTAGAATTTGATGCCTATTTAATTTCAAATTTAAGAATTCTTGAAATTTTAAAATTTGGTTCCAATTTATGGATCTTTGAATCTTCATAGTTTGATCTTCAAATCTTCTTGATTGATTTTTTTTTTAAATTAAAGCAAAATTTTATTAATAAAAAGGGATAACAAATTATAACCAGTCAATCAAGTCATGGTCGCGGAATGCATCTTGCTTAGCCAGGGAGTTAGAAAATTAACTTTTCTGTAGACATGAACAAAAGATATTTTTGAAGACTTTGTTTGTAAGAAATCTAGAGATATTCTTGGTTGAACTTGTTTGTAGGAAATCTGAAGACTTTGTTTTTCATATATTTTTTGATGACTTTGTTCTTCGATTGCACTTGGACTTGTTTTTAGAAAATCTAAAGATTTTGTTGGAATTAGAGACATTCAAGAATTTTTGAATGTTAAGACTTTTATATTCAAATCTATCTTGTTCGATTTCTTTGAAAGAAATCTAAAGACTTTGTTCTTGAGATCTTTTTCAATTAAACTTTTGGGGACGAGAGACTTTGATTCTGCAAATATTTTTTATTCTCAACTGCCTTATCCAAGAGTCAACTATCTTATCCAAGAGATTTGTTTATAAGAAATTTTTTTTTTTTTTCAATCTTCAAATGTCTCAAAGAGCTCTCCTTTATTGTATTTGGTGATTTTAGGTGAGAGAGTTCTAAAAGAATTTAAATTCTTTGGTTTTATCTCTTTTTTAATTTAATTATAAATAAATGAAATTTGATTGGACGATTCATTTAATCTTATGAATTTTACTATCCATAATATGATTTTATTTCTAAATTATTTTAATTTATCTAAAAATAAAATTAATGATTTATAGGAGAATTCTAATTGGTTAAAATTATGAATTTTTTAATTTTGATTGATTTTATATTGATTTGACACATTAAAAATTTAATTGGTAACTAAATATAATTAAAAGAAAAATTTTCAAATATGACCCTATTATTGACAGAAAATTTTCACGGATGATAGAATTTAAATCACTACTTAGATTTTCAGCATACATTCAATATATTATTGTTTCTGTGCATTGATCAGCATTGTGCTTATATTGTTCCCCTGTTAAGCTAAAGTGGTTGTCTCAATCTTCTTGATTTCTTGGGAGTTTAATATCTAATGTTGTTAACCAGCCACTAATTCTTATATCTTGGATGGCTGTTGATCTTTTCCTGCATGGCTAGTAGTTGAGGTCCTGAGGGAATTGCTATCAATTGAACAATACATTGTTGTTATCTTTGACATGGTCTGCATCTTAAGACAAGTTAAAAAAAACACAATTGTTATAGCATCTTTTACATGATGATTATATTATTAAGTTCGGTAAGAATTCGGTGATCTTACGCTGTAATATTTTTCAATCATTAAGAGTGATAACTTTTGGAAGTATTTTTCACATGGTTTATATGTTAAGAAAAGTGAAATTAAAACAGTTTACTAAAATTTTCTAATGTATTGACTTGCATCAGACTGTTCCACTAATTCCAATTGAACTCAGAGGGTTAGTTTGAGTCGAGAAAATTCCTGCTTCAACAACATCCATTCTAAATTTTGTTTCTCTTTTGAGAGAACCTAAAACAATCAGGAAGTTTGAGAAGAAATTGAAAAAAAAAAAAAAAGACTCAGCTTCTCTTGTTTTGCTTTAACGATTCAATGGTTTCAGTGATTGTCTTTTTGGAACTCCCACCATTTCCAGTGGCTTTCCTAGCTTCTTCTCCTACCTTTTTGGCTCTACTCTTCAGCTTCTCATCTGTCATCAGCTCGCTGATCTTTTTCTGAATCTCATCTTGTTTAACCAACCTCTGACCACACCAGCCCCACGTCCTATCCCATATTCCAAGCCCGGCCTTCTCCAAAACCTCCGCATTCGCTCTTTGGTCCCCATGTTGAGGCCATGCCAGCACTGGAATCCCTCTCTGAGCTGCTTCCATCACTGAGTTCCACCCACAATGATTTACGAAGCCTCCAATGGCAGGATGTGCAAGAATATCTTGCTGGTTCACCCACTCCTTTAAAACCATCCCCCTGTTCTTTGTTCTTTGTAGAAATGAACAGCCTATTAAGTCTTCTAAATCTTCTTTATCATCTTTGTCTACTTTTTTTGTCTTGAGCACCCAAAGGAATCGATACTCACTTTTTTCCAGTCCATCTCTCAATTCCTTTATTTGATCTTTTGACATGGCTGTTCTGCTTCCGAAGATAACAAACACAACAGATTCTGCTGGTTGGTTGTTTAGCCAAGGTAGATACCGACCCTCATCCTTCTTGAGCTCACAAATTTCTAATGGTCCGATTGGGAGAATTGGTGGGAGATTGCTTAAAGCTCTCTTATTGTTGATTGCTGAAAGAGTTTCAGGCTCAAAGCAATCAAAGGTATTCATTAGAATTCCTTTGCAATAAGGGAGAGCTCTGGCATTTGATAGAATACTACCCGTAAAAGGATGATCAGGGTTGAAGAATGGAGGTGGAATGCTTGATATAGGCAGTGGGGTTAGGCCTGGGATCTCAATCTCAGTGGAACCAGTCAGTTTAGCAGCATCAGATGTCAGGATTGGCAGATATGCCATAAGAGAAAGAAAGTTGACAGAAGTGGTGGATACAACGTAATTAGGAATTCCAAGACCAACAGCAACTTTGTTGACACCAGATGCTACTACGAGATCAGAAAAGATGGCAGAGAGAGGTGGAGATGAAGAAGCTATAGAAGGATGAATAAGATGGGCAGAACGGCTAGTAGCTTCGAATTGGATGAAAAAAGGATCATCGGTAGCAGTATTGGAAGGTTGCATCGGAGGGACTTGGAATTCAATATGCTTGATTTCTGGATGTGTTGAAAGAAAGAACGAAATATGCGTGGATTCGGCTACTGATACAGTACATTTGGTAGTGATAAGAGTTACCCTACAGTTATGGGACAATAGCATAGAAGCAAGGCGGAGGAAAGGGACCAGATGACCCATTCCGGCACTTGGAAAGAGAGCAATGTGAGGCTGGGATGTGTCAGAACGTCTGAAAATCGACATTTTGGTTAGACAAATGTCTGAGGTAAAGGCTCTTCCGAAACTTATGGACACAGAAGCATTTATGCATAGGAGCACTTCGATATTGATGGATTCTCTCAAGGATTAATTTCTTCTATTGGGAAATGCATTTTAGTATTGAAAGTTTGGTAGGTTTTGCTAGCATCTCCTTGCGACACAGTTCACCAAACAGGCAGGCGAAGATTTATAATCAACTAACATTCAAAGTGGATGAAGTTAAATTATTCTCTTCTAATGAATGGACAGAGAAGCATTTATGCATAGGACCACATAAATATTGATGGATTCTCTCAATGATAAATTTCTTCTATTGGGACAGGCATTTTAACATTGAAATTTTCTTCTATTGGGACAGGAATTTTAATATTGAAAGTTTGGTAGGTTTTGCTAGCATCTCCTTGCGACACAGTTGACCAAACAGGCAGGTGAAGATTTTTAATCAACTAACATTCAAAGTGGATGAAGTTAAATTATTCTCTTCTAATGAGATTGAAAATCTCAATATTGACTCGATGAAATTGAAGACAGGAGCTACATTATTGCCGCTGATTCTGCTTCTTCATAATGAAGGGAACAGTTAGCAAGATAAGATATAAGTTAAGAATTGTTGATTATAATAGGGCAGAAACCTTCCAAGCCTTCAACTTTTTTAACCAATTTGATGAATTCCCTCCTACTGACCATGACCAGATCTGCTCGAGATTTCCCATTTTTTGTCTGATTGCAGCTGCAAATATGAACTGATGACTGTGTTTCATGTTGGATATGCAGTATTCTAATATAAATTTATAGATGCACTTTCTTTTTTACTGTTATACTGTCGACTTGTGTAGATGGATTTAGCAATTAAGAGCATCAAATAATGCAAGGAATGACCTGATTTTTGCAACAGGGTGCAGAAAAACGGTTAACCTGCTAACGATTTCCAACTTGGTTTGGTTCCTGGTTAAGACCAAACAGTTCTATTTTTGATGGCCAAGTGAAGATAAGTAAATCAAACCATTTCCAATCTGTTTTAGTTGTTGAGCTAGTTGTTGGAAATTGAATTATAGCAAGACGAATTAAAGAGACATTTGACTGCAGTTTCAGTGACATTTGACAGCACCTGAAAAAATATGTTTATAACAAACACATTCGATGTTAATATCATTAAATAGCTGCAAACGGGTATAAAATATGCTCAGTAACATGTTCACTGCAGCATCCTGCACATGGATTATAGGTTAAGAAACCAAGGTTGGATTAAACAAAAAACTTTTCACTAATTTATGCCAATCTATTGTCTTGGAGTCAAATCACGTTGCTCCATTAATGCCAATTTAGCCAGGAACATAAGTTTAAATCAAGGCTATTTCTTGCTTCAAGTACATACAATTCTCCCTTTTTAAAACTAAAAATTTTCTAAAATAATTTTAAATTTGTGCTGTGAATCCTAGCCACCATATTTTGGGAATATATGTCAAAACAAGAGTCACCCGTCTGCTTAACTAATATATTAACACTAATCACTTAAACTGTAAAAGAAATACAAAAAACAAAAGATACTAAAACGGTACCGCTTTTCTTGTGAACAAGAGTCAGCTAAGCCTTTTTCCTCCTCTCTCTCTCTCTCTCTTCTCACCTCACTGATTAATGTCCCTATTATCTTTGGAGCTAGTTTTTGATGCAATATTGATGTACAGTTCTAATTACGTATTGAGTGAGATATATCTATAATATATTAAAAAAATAAAAAAATAATTAAAAATATATATATATATATTATCTAACTAATCACACTTAAATAATTAAAATTTTAAATGTATCAAATATTAACACTTTATTTTTATTAAAAAAAAAAAACTATGGAGGACAGAGGTATGATTGAGTCTAGATCAAAAAACCCATATTTTATTTTTCTTAATTTCATGTTCTTTTGGTTCAATGCAGTGCCTTTTTGACCCATTTCCCTTTTCTTTTTGAGGGAGGGGTTGGGTGCAAGACCCGGATATGGTTGAGTTTATTAGAAAGAAACTATCTTTTCAATCATCTTAATTTCGTTTCCTTTTTGGTTAAATGGTGTTCCTTTATGCAGTGGAATTAGTTCTAGTAGAATCCGAACAAGGTTGTTCTCGGCGGTACAGAAGTAGCCCCTTTGGAAGATGAATCCCCTGAAGACTTGGCAAAGGACAAATTGGAGCACCTGCTGACTTGCCAAGATGATGTTTCAAGGTTGATGAAAATGGAGATGAAATCTGGGATGGAATTACCCAGTAAGCGGTGGTTTCCTTGGATAGGTTTAGGTGCGGGAGTGAGTACCTGAGCAGCAGGGAGGTTATAGGGGCGGTGGGACCTGTCTTGATGGGGGAGAGGAAAGAAAGGTTGAAGAGGGTGGTGAGAAATAGAAGCTATTCATTTTGCTTGGTGGTGGAGGGGTTGTGTGATTTTGGCAATGTTTCGGCCACGTTCAGGTTTGCTGATGCACTTGGGTTGCAATCAGTTCATGTGGTGTCATGTGACCAAAGAAAAGCTTGTAAGACGTTTGAGGCCAAAAGGGTCTGCTTTCTAGGTGATGGTTGTTTAATTTGAGGGTTTTATGTTGCTATGCATAATTAGTGTTTCGTATTGGAGTGAATTGCTAGTGTGATTAGCTTTTTGTATTGTGTTTTCAGTTATTTTCATTTGAACATTGGATTTATCAATTGCTTCCCTTACATCATTTGTGTATCGCAGATACAGAGACAACCGTCATATTAGCATGGGTGCAGAGAAATGGTTGAAATCTGCCAAAGAGTGCTTTGAAGTTTTAAAATCACGTGGTTATGGAATAGCCACGACCCATGTAGGAATGGTTGCGGTATTGATAATTTTCCATCTTTGGTGGTATTTCTTACTATAATATTGGTGTTTAGGATAAATAAATGTATTTTATCCTTTATCAGATGCGTCTTTTTTCCTCTTAAATGACGTTTTGACAGTCACTGACAATATAGAATCTTTAACAAGTGTATCGCCCTTGATGATCAAAGTTCTAACGTTCTGAGTCTGGATACTTGATGGATATTTGCATCACTGACCATTTGCTTCTATTTGCAGGTATCCATATCCGACATGGAGGCCAACTGCAATTGTAGTTGGGAATGAAAATAGATTATTTACATTTGTAAAATTTCTAATAATTTTCTATCGTAGTTTGTTAGCTTCTGAAATTCAGTATATGATTAGCATTAGAATTTAGTAGTTGTTTTCTGACTTAAAATTTCCATAGTTCATAACAATATCAAATTTCTAACTGAAAACAATTAAGGGAGACAAGGCCAAACAATTAAATTTTTTTATTTTTTATTTTCTCATTTCCAAGTGCATCTGAAGCCTATATACCAAGTCTTGTGATATAAATATATGTTATTTTTGCTTCTGAAATGTGGACAATAATTCTCTCCATTCTTCTCTTGCTATATTAATTGAGGTTTGTGAGGCCCTGATTGCAGGGGATTAAGTGATGAGGCTCTGGAACTGTCAGATTTGCATTCAAAATTTCGATGGCTGCAGGCATAGTCATGTGTCACACCAAACGCTCTAAAGAGAGTGTGTAGGGTACTCCAATCTCATATTGGATATGAAAGGAAGGTTATTGGGTTATAAGAACGTTGGCGTTGCACACCTTAATAAGTCAGTTTTAAGGGGAAAGGGTAATAGTCACATGACAAGTGATATCAGAGTAGGCTCTGGATCGTTTGATCCACACCAAGCGCTCAGAGGGGATAGACAGGATGGCTAGCCTCCGTGACGAGGAATGTAACGCCAAGTGCTCCAAAGAAGAGTAAGTAGGGTATTTCAATTCTACATCAGACATGAAATGAAGGTCACTAGATTATAAGAACATTGGTGCTGCACACCTTGATAAACCGATTTTGAGGGGAGAGGATAATGGCCACGTGACACATGCACCATACTGTTTGTGACAGAACAACTCGCCTGGTAATCTTTTCTGCCTAAATTCATAGATATCTTAGTGATATGCCCATTTTAATTGTTCTATCTTTTTCTGAATCTTCTGGGATTACAGAGATAGTAGAAAATATGTGCACAAATCTCTGACTGAAACTATTTCTCCATACTTACGTTTGTGATGAGACACCAAATTTACTTTTCTTGTTCACTTACGAATGTCATGTGTCTATGTATGTAGGATGTTTGTAGTTCACTTTTACATTGTTAGAGTCTCCATTCAAGATGCAGAGAGTTTTTTGGATGTGTACCAAACAGAGGAATGTTGAATTAATCTGTTCATTCCAGTTTACTCTCACATGTTTAAAATCCTCGTTCAAGTTTTAGACATTTACATAATGAGTGCCATTAAGCCTTGAGCTATGTAACTGGAGATAGCCATCTCCACTAATGCACCCTAACCCTTTCCTATGGTTTGATTAGGGATTTCCAAGTTCAAGTGTCCTAAGTTCTAATGGTGTCGTTGTTCCTTTGGGGACACAGGTTCTTTGATATGCATGCGGCTAGTATTTGCAATGATAGTGATTGCCACAAGAAGTTTTTTATCTGCTGCAACATATAGTAATTACATATTTTCATGCAACACAGGGTTGTCATTGTGATCTGAATGAGGAAGAAATCCAAATCTTACATGCTGAGTTCTTATTGCGTCATAATAATAGCGCAACCGGCATAGCTAACGAGTATGCTTAGCGGAAGGCCACTATATCCATATCAAGGCTGTGATGTAGTCAAGTGCTTGATGTATGATTTACTATAGTAAAAATTAAAACTCTAAAATCTCAATAGATGTGGCTGCCAAGAAAGGAAAAAACAGTTTGATGAATTCATTTTAAGCCACCGAAGAACAGGAGCAAGTGATTGAGTTAGTTGAGCTAGAGTTGTTAGATGCAATGCACTGAAGTTAGAGGAGGCAAATTGGTAGTTTGTCACAGCCTAGTTATGAGGATTTATGATTTAAGGACATTTGTAGTTGAATGTTCTTTTCATAATTTTTATTATCTTCAAACATTTTTACCATGAACAAAAAGGAAATAGTAAGATTGTTTAAGTCAGCCTTTTTCTTTCTATTTGCATCAACTGTGATTCAATGCATCAAATATAATTCATTTCTAGAATGAGTCAGTAAACACTACCTGTTCTGGAAACTGATATAGAACCCAACTAGAAAATGATAATGCAGAATTCTAATCATTTTCGAACCAACTTACATTTTTTGGAGCCACTGCAAACTTCTCGATACCAAGTTCATTTTAATGCATAAAACAGCTGAATTCTTCATACATCTGTTTGTTTTCATAAGGAAATTTCCTTTGTGCGGTGTTGTTTAAGAAACTTTTAAGAGTCTAAAAGACTCTTAAAAGAGTTTCCCAATTACGTTGATGGACTTCTCAGTAAAGTATATAATATATGATTTGCATTTGAAATAAATAAATTGCACCTGTAAATCTTTCCACCATTCACAAAA